CCAAACGACAATTGGAGTAACGCAATTTGTAGTAACGAAATTCCAAACGAAAAACTAATCTGATCATCTGATGCACGTCAAGAAACATAAATCATCTGTAAATTAACTTCATATCTTTTTTTTTTCTTCTCCATTTCAATCAAACCCATAAAAAAGCTACACGAAAGTAACTGAAAAGGAACAAAATTAAGCACTCGGCGAGGGAATCATCCCGATCTTTCTGGCATAAGTGAAGATTCCACCGGCCTAGATCACCGGCCCAACGACGCTTATCGACTTCAATTTGTTCTCTTTCCCCGTCATGTGGTTGATCAACCGGCTCTCTCCGACCTCGATGGTGATCATGTCGCCGGTCCAGCACTCCACGCAGATCCTTACCTGGGGGCGGAGCAGGCTCGATGAGCAGGGGCGGAGCATAGGCGATGAGCAGGGGCAGAGCATGGGCGGAGATTACCGAGAGAATCTGAGAGAACCCCACCGAGAAATCCTTGCGCGATTCCACCGACAACCCAGCCTTTAGAACAACCGGCGACAGGAGATGAGGGAGACCGGCGAAGAGGGGGAGTAGAGGAAAGAAAGTGAAAATGCAGAAAGGGGAAAATGAGACCGGGGAAGAGAAGATTGAGACCAAGGAAAACAAAAATGGGAAAAGGAAAACGTACCCAAATCGTTTTCAGAATATCTGCATTTTCAGGAAAGAGTCATAAAACGTTTTCATTTTTATTTATTGTACGACGCAGTGCCAAACACTGTCCTCAGACCATTTTCATTTTTTGGTCCTTGAAAAACGTTTTTGAGATGGATTCCAAACGGGCACAAAATGGACATTAACAAAAAGTGAAAAAAATCAAGATTCAAGATATACTATACTAGAAAACTAGATAAATACATCATATTAATTAGAAAAAATACAAAATAACAAATAAATAATAAATAAACACAATTATTTATTTCCGTTTATAATTGAGAGAATTATATACTCGACCCTTAATTCACCAAACTAATTAAAATCACTCCTCATAAAAAACTCTACCCCTTTAACTTTGGTCAAATATTTTGACTATGTACTAAAAGACTAAAATACCCATTCTGGCCGGTGAATGGAGACCCGTCGGCGGACGTAATATGCCAGATTATTAGTAATAATCTGACATACTATGGCCAGTTGGTAATTGGAGACCAGCCGACTAGCGTAACTTATGAGTCATAGCCTGTCAGACTATAAGTCATAGTTTGACAGTCTATGGATTACAGTATGAGAGACTATGGGTCATAGCCTAACAGACTATGACAGACTCTAGCATAACTTGTCAGACTATAGGTCATAGTATGACAGACTATGGTTGGCTTTGGCGTAACCTGTCAGACGATGGATCATAGTCTGACAGACTATGGTTGGCGAGCTGCTAGAGACCCCGCCACCAGTCGCCAGAGATAGGTCGAACCACCGCCGGAGACCTCACCATCAGCCGCTGGAGACCCCGTCACCGGCCTCCAGAAACACGTCAGAGACCCTACCACTGGCCGCCGGAGACACGTCAGATGACCACGGAAGACCCTGCCGCTAACCGTAGAATCTCCATCGTCAGCTGGTGATCGGAGACAACCAACATCTTGTAAATACCTTTGAGAGTATTTTTGTAATCTACATATTGGGCTTAGTTTAAAGGGGTAGAAATAAAAGGACTAATGTTTGAGGGTTAATAACGGATAATGAGGAAAATAACATAATTGGTAAAGTAATTAGTAAATTATAGCATTTTTTAAAAAAAATAGTAAATTATGACATAACTTGATATTTTAAGTTTTAAACTTATTAAAAACCCAAAAGCACACATAAACCTCATTTTCCACCTCACTTCTCCCCTAAACATTTATTTTTTTTAAAAAAAGGAAATTATAGAGTATTTTTTAAAATAGATAGATTATAGTCAAGTCCACCATGACCGTGACTGGGGGCCGGCTCCGGCGGTTGGATATCATTTTTTGGCAACCTGTGACTGTTTTTCAGTGATTGTTTTTCGGTGACCGTTCAACACTGTATTTACTCATAAATACATTTACTGGTAAATATCGTATTTACTATTTAATACCGTATTTAAAGCTAAATATCATACTTACTCGAAAAGCTGACCATCGACTTCGGCGACCGTTTAACGTTGTAGTTACACTTAAATATCATATTTACCCGAATATCCGGCCATCGACTTTGGTGACCGTTTAACACTGTATTTATCAGTAAATATCATATTTATATGAAATTCAAGCACCAATTCCGGCGACCGTTTAACACTGTGTTTACTAATAAACATTGTATATACTAGTAAATACCGTATTTACGAGTAAATATCATATTTATCTAAAAATTTGACCACCGACTCTGGCGATCTTTTAACATTGTATTTACCAGTAAAATACTGTATTTATTAGTAAAAACCATATTTACCATATTCATCTAAAAATTCGGTGACCAACTCCGACGAATGGTAAATATCGTATTTACTGGTAAATACGGTATTTACTGGTAAATACCGTATTTACTATATTGTATTTATCATATTCAAACTTATTCAGTGAAGTATTTACTAATAAAAACAGTATTACCTTATTTAAACTTGAATATAATAAAGCATTTACTGGTTAATACAGTATTTATCATATCAAGAATTATAGTATTTACTTGTAAATACAGTATTTACCATATTAGAAATTGGATTCAGTGAAATATTTATTGGTAATTACAGTATTTACCATATTCAATCTCGAAATCAGTGAAATATTTACTGATAAATACTGTATTTATGTGCAAATTCAACATCTGGAGCCGACAACCGGTAACTGGGGAATATCATATTTACCAATAAATATCGTATTTAATCGTAAATATTATATTTATCTAAACATATGGTTGTCGATGCTAGCGACCAATAAATACTAAATTCAATGAAATATTTATTTATAAATACAATATTTATCAGTTGGAGAATTGGATCAATAAAATATTTATCAATAAATATAATATTTACCATATTCAAAAATGTAATTGTTAAAGTATTTACAAGTAGACACATACTTATAAAAGAATAATAACTCTAGAATTAGCATAAAAATTAAGATTAAAATTAGTGTCTCTAACATTATTTTCAATAGAAATATGTGGAAGTCTAATCGCATACCAATGATGGCAAAAAAAAAAACAAATAAAACAAATACTATTTTGACTTTCAGCAAGAAAATTGTACGGTTTATATTATACTGCACTATTTTCGAACTATCAACTCATATCAAAATTTTAGAAAATATTATATATTATTTGATAGTGCTGTGATATAAGATGTGCTACAAAATCGATCAAAAGTCAAATATTATTATAACAAAATAAAAGTTTAGGAATAGTCTCTAATTCGACATCAGATTAGAACAGAATATGTATATATTTTTTTAAAATGTGTATATATTATCTTAAAAAGATGTATATTTTTTTTAAAACATGTATAATATAAAGACACTTATAATTTATCTAAATACATATATACATATTTTAAAAAATATATGTGTGTCATTTTAATCCGGTATCACATTGAAGACTTTACTTAAAAGTTTAATACATTATCCTTTTAAAAATAATCTTTTGTATTGTTCGTTTTGGTTAGATAACTTCAAATCTAAAAACTCAATTAAAAATGGAGAATAAAGAAGATGAAGTAAGCTCATATGTGGCACTTCGATCTCAAAGACAGATAAGACAAGAAATGAGTAGGCTCTTATTGGCTCTGATTTCGAAGAGGAGGAATCCAACGTTTGCATTTCGAACTCTCCATTGCCTTTTTTGACTTCTAACATTTCGGGCCGCGCAAGAAACATGACACTTCAACCAAAGCAAAAGTTCAAATCACAAGATAATGTTTATTTTATGAATTTAAAATTATAATTTATAATTAATAATTTTAATTTTTAAAATTTAAAATTTATTTATTTTATTAATTTAAGTTTAAAATTTAAATTTTACTATAGTAAAAAATTATCAAAAATAATCACATTTAACTTTTTTATTACAGTAAAAAACTCTCACAATAAAATTACATTTCAATTCGAATTAAAAACTTGAATCAGTTAACTAAACGAGCCCTTAAATCCTCAAATCTTTTATGGAAAAAAAAAACATTGTAACAGAATTAAAAACCATAATCTTAAATTAAACAAAACTCTTAAAACATACATCAAATTTTTAATACGATATCTTCTTTCATAAAAATTTAAATTTTAACATTTTTTATTACAATATTTTCTCACATAAAATCACTCTATAACTCAAATTCTCGTTAAATTCTCAACTTAAACAAGCGAAACAAACAAGACCAGAATGACACAAACTCTTCAATCAAAGGAGTACTATTTTTTTCAATTAGAGAGTACTGCTTAATTTTTTTTTTTTTTTCCACCTTTGCATAGAGATTGCATATAGACGCTTAAAACCTTCAACCACCCATTGAGAAGGCTATTACCATTGCTTAAGTCCCAAGTCCAACCAATATATAGTTTGAGCTGAAAATTTTGAACCTATGTGGTGGTCTAAACTGTAATATGAAGTGGCGTTTGAAAGCATAAAATTTGAACAAGTATTAAAACGTCACATCATAAAACTGATTCAAATTGTAAGGACACCATAAATAAAACCATAATTTTATTATAGCAAATAGGTTAAACTCCATATGTATTGGGAGGAATACTTTCTAAAAAACCGGTTTTTTTATATGCACAAGTTACATCAAGTTCAAAACCAACTCAACCAAATGCACATCTAAACCATCATTTGACTACAAACCAAATGAACGCATAGTACATTTTTCTCCTTTCATTTCACCCAACCAAACACACCTGAAAGTCCTCAATAGTAAATGGTAACCACCTAAAAACATGACATTTCAAGCAAAAGTCACCGAGGCCTTGAACCTCTTTCATGACAATCTTTTGTTAAATAGAATTGACTTCACAGAACAAGAATATTAAGAAAAAGTATTTTATGCCATAATTCATTAGTTGAATAAAATTCACATCACAGAACAAGAAGATTAAGCAAAAGGTGGTTAATACAATACTCTACCATTATGTTTAACTAAAAACAACCAAGCAAGCTTGCCAAGGAATTAAAGCACCTGGCAGAGAGAGTAAACCGAGTCTTCATGGTTCACATATTTTGCATGGTCTTCACATCACTAGTAAATAAAATTACACAACCAACAGACACACACAAACCGTTTTCCCTAATCTTTTTTTTAAGTCTATAAAATCTCGTCAATGTACACTACCTTTCAGTGGCCGTCCCAGCCACTCTGAATTCTAATTAGAAAAGCATCAGTTCTTCCCTGAGAGCTAACTCGCAAATAAAAGAAATTAGAAACATCAGTTTATGTAGACGCCAATTCTGTTGAGCCGTATCATTCCCCTGCTTATTGTTAGCAGTAATTTTGGGCTTGAAATATGCCAAAACTACATAATTAAAAAGACCGTGAAATTACCGGTCCCTCAATCACCCAGCAGCAACAGCATCAGCCCGCGGACTTGTATCTAGGAGTTGATGCAGCTTGGCTCCTGAGTTCGAGTTTTTCTCATACATGTCATTCTCTTCCTCAGCAGTCCTATCAATGGAACCAGAATTGTTAACCCTAGAAAGGAGGTTCTCTGTGCTGATAGGTTTATCCACGTCATTCAATAGAATCTTTTCTGTATGTCCTAGTTGAACATTTTTCAGCTTATCCTGTGTGTGAACAAGATTGCATTTAGTAGAAAGTATAGAGATGTCATGAAAACTTAAAGGGCTCTAAGGAGTAATAATTTCAAAAAGTAACCAGCAGATATACTTCTAATTTAGCATTCTCTAGCCTCAGCTTCTTTGAGTTTTCTGTCAGTCGATTCAATTCAGATTGAAGCGCCACGTTCTCAGCAGTCAAGGACTCAACCTTGTGTCCAAGTTCCTCAGTCTCGGCCTGTACAACAATCACAAAAGGCCGCTTCATATCTCAAAAAAAAAAAAAGAAAGAAAGAAATAAAGAAACTACAAACAAAACATTCAAGTTAATAATAGAAGAATAACAAGACACTTTCAAATTGTTTCATACCTGCTTCCTCAACCTCGACCTCCTAGCAGATTCTCGGTTGGACTGTTTTCTTCTCTCTCGCTTCAGCTCCCGCTCATTCTGAGAAATATAATTCAATCACCAAAATTTTACACTTATTGAATCCCTATATACGAAAGATTAGGAGTAGAAAGGGTAAAGGAATGGCAAGCAGAATGTGCAGAACATACGTGTAACCAAGAGTCAGCTGGCAATACTGCACAAGTATTGTTGAGGGTAGCCGTAGGACTAGTCTTAGTGCTTAGGTTAGAATTCCTCAATTCCAATGCTGTCGTCATGCCAGGAGAAACTACAGACCCAACCAACTTTCCTGGGATGCCGGAAGGTGGAACAGTTGCACCCAATGTCTTATCTGAGACGGCATTTATCTCACTAGTGGAGACTCGCTTTGCCTGCTTCTCAGTCTTCTCATCTCCAACTGTTGTGACATTAGCAAAACACGGAGATTAGAGTGTAAACAACTCAAATATACTGTTTATTCGCAGGGCGGTTCGTGTAACCAAATTACTTCTAGATTCGAGTTTCCGATTGGTGTACATTTCTGATTGGTGTACATTCACGCGAAAGATATCAAGCAGCAGCAGTAGCTGGAATACCATAATTCAATAACAAAGACTCCATAAAAGACTGAATTAACTAGTCAAACGCCTAAGAATCCTTTTAACTTTACTAACTTCTGAATCTTAAGAACTTGAACTTGACCAAAAGGTGATCAAACGCAATTCAAACGTATCGAATGTTCTCAGTTTTATCATTGCATGATTTGGTACTTTGGCTTACAGGGTCAAAAGCAGTGATCACAGGCCCTCTGTATTAATTTCAAAGATGTTAACTGATTAGAACAGAATCGTACCAGTGGTTGGTGTCCCCTCTCGACTTCTTTTTCTTCTGCTTTGGTTAGCCTAAATATAAGCAACAGAAAGAAGGCAACTAAGTTAAAAGTTCAACCGACCAGCAGAATGTGTATGGTTCTCAATCAAACAACAGAACCAGTATGGTGTAAAGATGTGATAAAAACCAACGAATCCCTCACCCCAATACTATTCCCATCACTTCCGTCACTTGAACCATCGGTCTCCGTACTGCAAAAAAAAAAAATTGTTCAAATTAGCCCGGGAAGAAAAAAAAAGAACGAAGAAAAGGAGTTCATCTACTAGGAAGGACCACTGCAAAACATAAAGAATACAAATACAAGTGGAAGAGTCATCAGAAGAGAGAGGCAAATGATTTCACAAACCTCTGTGACGCCCTCTGTTCAGCTACAGCCTCAGCATTACCATTGCCTATGGACATGGCAAGTCCATCAAATCCTTTCAATTTTTTCACTAACTCCTTCTCGGTGGTGCCAGATGACTTTGTAGGTGTTTCCACGCTCAAAGGAGGCGCAGCCTGGATTGCACCAGAAGAGAATTCACATTAGTTGATAGACGCGTCATAACAGCAGACATGAGATAAATCTAAAAGATGAAAAACTTACAGCAGGTGATGATGGAATTCCTTGACCATGCGCTGCCTAAATTCAAAGAGAAAATCCTTTAGCATGAGAGAAAACTTATAGCTTCAATTTGGACAGAAACAAAAGGCATAAATAGAATGGGGAAGAACCATCTTTGGGGAGGGAATTAGAGGCTATATTTACATAATGAAATCCAAAGAAGGAACTTGGCACGAGAAAGAAAATTTCATAGGCACGAGAAAGAAAATTTCATAGGCACAAGAAAGAAAATTTCATATGCACACCAAGTAAAATTCACTAAAACTTGGCATAATCAACAGCATTTCAAATGAACACCAAGTACTACCTGACTAGGGGGAAAAAAAGGGAGAAAAAAAAAAAGCAGGATCGCTAACCAAACGTGGCATAAAAAAAAGAGGACACTTACAACAGGGACCGCAGGATGCGCATAAACACTTCCATGTGAGTAGATTGCCGCATAAGGCGCCCCATAAGGGGGCATCATGGCCTGGAAGGATTGATTAAATGAGTCAGCTGAGTAAATTATTCCACAATATACTAACGTTATTTCTTGGCATAGGATAGAACATAACAACACCATAAAATCCAAAGATTCGAACAGAAATGTTTTAATTGCTTATATGCTTTGATGCTTTGGGAAATACCTGTGGTGGACCCCACATATAAGGATGAGGAGCATGGCCAGAAGCCACAGCTGAGTTGTAATATGGCGGGAGAGTAACTCTGGGACCATAATATGCCTGAATATATAGTAGATATTCTTGAAGGGATTAGCACGACATAAGCATATCGAAGATTATCAATCAACAAGCAAAATATGAAAGGCAAACAATAACCTGCATGGCTGCCCAATCAGGATAGACGTGAACGTTGGTCTGATTTGTGTGATTTGTCTGATCCTGTTAATTCAAAAAGACACAACTACCAAGTTACCAAATTGATCAATCACCTACAGCCTAGAAAAGAAGAAATATAGAGGGTATGACTCCTTTCTTTCGGAAGATTTGCGACAATAAAACTCATAACAAACAAGATTAACATCAAACTTCTATCAAAAGTTAACCTCACGCTTACCGGTGTTGAGGGTGCAGATGATTTTTCAGATTTCGCAGACTTTCCCTCTTCATCGTTTCCCATAATATGGTACCAACCAGGTTTTTCAAGTATTATTCACGGAGATATCGGTGCTTCCTTGATGGCCAGATTACTCTATTAAACTAATATATCGAAGCTCAACGTGCCTCCTAGCATCAAATAGAACATGGACTAACTGGATTGACAAAAATAAAATAAACTGAGACAGCTGAAGGATCAAAACCTCCGGAAAATGGAACCCAAAAGTCTCCATTGAACTGATTTGTTGGTCAATTCTACTATGAATGTTAAAATATTCTTCCACTCATACCAAGAATGTGAACCCCCATGGATAAGCAAAATGTTTTGAGCAAATCCAACATGCAAATGAGGTTCTAATAGATGTTTGTACATGACTATCCAGTGTTTCTGCTGTAAACAGATATGTGGTATTCTTTCCGTTCTTGAGATAGCAGATACTGTCAAAAACCTGTGAAGTCGACTTCAGCTTTCAAGTCTGATCCTATGTTACTGAAAAATTCTCAGCTGGAGTTTTAACACATTTTGAGGTTCATAACCAATTCCCAGTTTCGGTAAAGAGTAACATAGCTAATGTCTCGAGATCGGTGCCGCTATATTAATTTTGATGACTTGATGAAGACAAGGAATAGGAACCCATTTATTTGGAAATGGGAAAGATATAGTTTAAGGGTGAACTTGAACAAAATATAGATTGAATTTTACTTAATTTTTCTTTTCAAAAATTTTCGGACGCCTTGGGACAAAAGTCTGTTTAATATTTGCTATACAACTAAATTTAAGATAAAACTTGGTACCCAAAAATTAAGATTAAAAAAAAAAAAACAGGTGTTCCTGATCGCTTTTATATAAGCAAACATCGGTTCACATCAACCGAATTCATTGTCAAGTAAAAGAAAACGTTGACTTGTTTGTTCTTCAGGCAAATACAACAAGAAAAAGAGGTGATCCATTTCTTTTAAAAAAAAAAACAGAGAGAAAAAAAAAAACACACACACACAAACAAAATACGTATTAACCTTTGATTTTTTTAAAAATATATATCTTTGATTCTTTTTAAACTTTTTTTTTTTTTTTACAAATACCTTTGATTTTATTTTATGAAAAGAAATCTATGTTAATCGTTAATGTAATTGTTGTTAACTATTGTTATCGAATTTGTCCCAAATATTCGGTTATAAATTAAAAGGAAAATGAATAAACTGGAAAATCCACACACCGGTTAATAGAGAGTAAGTTCATGGTCATTAAAGTCTTTCCCCCATCTAACTCGATATAAGAAGGCAGTAGGCGATGTTTCATCTCAGCGGATAATCAGGAGCTAAATGACAAAAAACACCCCGAAACAAAACTTTCAGCAAATATATGGACTATTTGGTTTAATTCTTTTTTTTTTTTTTCTCTCCCGTCGCAAAAATTAAGAAAACAAAGTTTTATACAGAATCTACTCTGATTATTTCTGAGTTATTCAGGGATAATTTCAAACCTTTTAGTCAATTTTCTCAGTTGAATTGCTCGCTTGAAGAAAGAGAGGCGAAAATATAAACCTTATTACGATGAGAAAAGCTATTAAACCAGTTGAATCAGCCAAAGAAAGCGAAATTTTCCATCAGAACAGCGATTTGTCTCGAAGATCTATCCAAGTTTCAACTCTAATCCTCTGTTTTGTTGCAAAGAGAACGGAGAAAAATCACTTTTATAGGTAATTTACCGTTATTAAGCGAATAATTTCCTATTTAGTCTACTTCAAATTGCAAAACAACAAATGTCCATAATTTAATTTTTATTTTCCCTACATTTTCTCGACGTCAAAAAGGCAGATAAGACACCTGCATCGAACTCTTCCCCGTACTTCCACTCACTTTCTCGTCAACCAAACGGAGCCGAAACCAAATTTTCTCGGACAACGAAACCAAAAAATCCAATAAATAAATAAATAAATCGAAAATTCTGGAATTCGACGTACCTTTTGGGACTTCAAAATCCAAATCTCCAATCCTGACGCCAGAAATCTAATCTAAAACGAAAATTCCTCAGGAATTCTTCCTCGGAACTTAACGTATCCTCAATGGCGAGAGACTCTTGACCTCAAAGCGTATGCATTTTCTCTCTCTACTTTCTCTCTCTAGAATCCGAGCCCAAAAGGTTGTTGCTTTTCACAGAGGAACGGGGAAGAAAAAATAGAAAGAAGAGGGATGGGAAGAAAGGGTGAAGAAGAAGAAGAAGAAGAAGGTGAAAGAAGAGCGCCAAGGCAACTTCCACGTCACCAGACACGTGTATCCATTCTGGGTGGTTTTATACGGTACGGCGTATATACGAGGGGGTGTGGTGGTTGTTGAGCTGGCCCATCGATATTCGCGCTCGCAGTTTTTTAATATATTCTGGCGTTACCTCAGCCGTACACGTGGTCGACGATTAATCGATCTACGCGTCAAAGGCTCCAGGGTCCAACCTATTCCACCCGTCATGTGGCTGACATGGTCCTCGTCATTATTAAATTTAATCCTTCTCATATTAAAAGTATGTATTTTTTTATTTAAAAAAAAAAAGATTTTATTAACTGTAATGAATTTGTCCTTTGGAGTCCACGTCTCGCCACTCAAGCCACGATTATGAGTGTATTTGGTCTAAGAATCCGTGTTATGGTTTAAATTATAATTCATAGTTCGTTATAATATTTTTTTTTATAAAAAATATATATAAATTAAAAATAATTTTAAATTATAATTCTGAATCTATCAACTAAACGTTCCTATTTAAGAATAAGTTTTTGATATTTTCATATTGTGATTTTATGTGAGTAATTTTTTATAAAATAAAAGATATATTTATTTTTTCTTTAATTTGGTGGATAAAGTTTTAATTTGACACAGTGGAAAGTCTTTGCAAAGGTGTGTACTTGTGGATTTTAGCGACGTGTTAAGTGACAAAATGCCATTGCAATTAATGTTAAAATAAACAGTGTTTAGTGTTTTTTTGGGTTAATACTTATTTAATCTTATTGCCCGAAAGAAAGGGAAGACTTGGTTGGATGTCCAAACGAACCATTTTTGTTTTTCAATTAATAATTAATACCTTCGATAACAATAAAGGATCTCAAGGCCTTCTTTATTTCTTTTTTTTTTTCTTTGGAAGAGACAAGGACTGCTGCCATGGGAATGATTTGTATTGTTCTTTAGCATATTTTCTTTTGAATACTTAATAATAACGATGACGATCATTTATTTGTTTGAATTTGTATTTTTGTAATGTAGAGTCTGTTTAATTCATTAATTTGAGTTTTTAATTCTAATTGATATGTGATTTTATATAAGAGTTTTTTATTGTAGTAAAAAAATTAGATGTGACAGTTTTTAAAAAATTTTTACTGTCATAAAATTTAAATTCTAAACTCGAATTGATAAAATAAACGGGCATTTAATTTACATGTGTGAGGAAAAGATGTTTCTTGGTTACGTTTTAAATGTTCTGGATGAAAGCAAAAGTGCACTAGAAAATTTTGAAATACAGAAAGGAACAAAAGAAAAAAGTCGTAAAAATTAACCAATGAGAATATAATAATGTAAAGATAAATATCTATGTTTGTAAAGAATTCACGAAAGTGATACATCCGCACTGTGAAAAACTGTTATAGTGTTATAGGACTCTATGATATTAAAGTTCTTATCCGTCCAAACACTATCAACTAATGTATCATCGCATTTAATTGTAATAGGTTTATCAATAAATTATAAAGGCTTTTATGTATGAACATTTCTCAGAGTTTGATAAATTAGTCATTTAATTTTTTTTCTTGGCAATTCACCTCTTAAATTTTAAAATTTATTACATTGTTGATCAAATTAAAAACGAAATAAAAATTTAGACGGTATCTTCTACATGAGTGTTTAATAATGATAATTTTAGTTTTTTACATTGAATTAAAGTCTTTATATACGTCATGAATAATTTTTTTTTTTTGAAATTAGAGGACCCTCAATTTGTCCTACAAAACAGTTCACTCTAAGTTTAAAAAAAATGTTCGGTTGTGATGCGTATATGATGATCAACTCGATATAAAAAGATATTAATTACTTTCATTAAACACTCATGTGGACGATACAGTCAAAATTTTTAACTTCATTTTCAATTTGACAAAATTGTAACAAATTTCAAAATTTAAGGGGTAAATTGCAAAAAAAAAAAAAGTTTTGAGACTAATTTGCTAAAACTTGTAAAGTTGAAGGAGTATCCATACAAATAGCCAATTACAAATTATTACAATTAGTTCAGATCAAACTTCAAAAGTTAATAAACAAAATACGGACAAGAAATTCTTTTTTATAGTTAGATATGTATTATTAGATTTTTTATCATGTGGTCCAAAATGGCATCATCAAAATTATAATAAAAAAAAAGAATCCACATTCAAAAATTGGGAAGGAAAAATTTGGCTTTAACACTCGTATCTAATTTTTATCGTGGTTGGGATTATTGAATATCATAAAAGTGAATTCTTAGGCCCTGTTTACTTCGCTAATTCGAGTTGAGATGTAATTTTATGTGAAAACTTTTTACTGTAACAAAAAAATTAAATGTGATTGTTTGTGAGAACTTTTTACTGTAAAAAAACTCAAATTCTAAACTCGAATCAGCGAAGTGAACGAGGCCTTACTTTCCTGCATTCGTTTGGTTGGAGAATGAAGGCTACGAAGAATGGAGTCAAGTACAAAGATGAGTATTGTAAAATATGGAGATGATTACGCGTAAATTAAATTCGGCACCACATTTGAAGTATGGTTATTAATCTGATTCACTTTTTTTTTTTTTAAGTATGGTTATTAATCTGATTCACTTTTTTTTTTAATAAATGAAATGGCTTTATTTATTCCATCCTAGCTAAATCAGTGTGTACAAAACAACTGATAAATAGTATCTAATTCAGATTATAGTAAATATATATATATATATTTTTTTTTTGAAGAAAGTAATTTTTCATGTTGTGTAGTAAGATATAGTAGGAGTGGTAATTGGTGTTGACGTATCATGTTGACTTTCTCAGTTGACACAATAAAACTTAATAAGAACACGACTCATTTATTATTCATGTCGTAATACAAAACTCAAACATGACATGTATATTAATAGGTTGACACGACATGATAAAACTAATTCGTTTATTAAACATGTCATAATAGTGTTGTGTTATCCTGTTTCTAATAACCCGTTTATAAAATAAGTGATAATAAGGTCGTATCAATTTATTTCTCAACATAGGTAACAAACGGGTTGTAATTATATTATGTATTCGTATTACCTAAATATGACACGATTAATAAACGGATTATAGCTGGTCAACCTGAAAACGACACGATATTTAATCGTGTTTCACGAGTTCAACCTAATTTTGACCCAAACCTATTTATAATAAACTCAACCCCACTAATTTTGTGTGGGTTTCGAGTCGTATCGTCGTGTCACTACTTAGATTGTCAGTTTTAGGATATAGGGAAAACTAAATATATACACGTGGTATTTATTAGTCTAATTACTATATTACTCATTTAATTATTTATTAATAATTTTTAAACGATAAAATAATCTTTCTAAACTTAAATGTGAACAATTTTTTTGAAAATATTTTGGTTAAGAGAGAGACTCTCTTTCTTTTATTTTATCTATAATAGTAAATAGATTCGAAATGTGACGATTTAAAATTTTTAATTTGAAATAAAACTTTTTTTTTCTAATAAGTTATTCGCAATTTTTGTTACATGTCATATTTATCAGTTATTAGAGAAAAATATTATTCATTACTCCTCATTCTTTTTTACCATATTACATATGTTGTTTTAAAAAATAATGAGAAAAATTGTCGATATTTACTATGAAATTTAAAAGATATTGACGACAGCTTAATTCCTTTAAAAAAAAAAGAAAAAAACTCATTAGGTTTGCATGTCACATTTATATGATATATGAGCAATGCGCGCGTTATATTATTTAACATCACACACTAATAGAAGATTCAATCTTAAAAATTCATGAAGTTCACTTGCTTACTAGAAACTAGTGAAGATACTCCCACACATTTTTTTATCATTATTTATTATTATATTATTACTACATAATAAAGACAAAAATTTATTTTGATACTTACACGTTATTTCAAAATATTTCAAAGATATTTAACCTTTTTTAAAAAGATACATCGTGTTTAAAAATTCATTATTTTGGTACCCTTAAGATTGTTCTTTAGACCAATAATCCTTGATACCATTCTTTTTGTCTTCGATTATATTTTTAAACATATAGATGTGATTCTAACAATTATATGTCGTGTGTGTCATAAAACTTATATGTTAAAACTCACAAATCAAAAATCTCAATCTAACAGTTAAAATGACAATGATTTAAGTAGTTAAAATAAATAGTTCTATAGAAAAATTTCGTTTAATTAAAAATTCGTTTAATATATGAACTCAAACCAGTTATTTTGATTATAAATTTTAAATTTTAAATTTTTTATAAGAAAAAATACTTAACAAAATTAAAATGATAGGTTTAACTCATGAAAAATCTATATACCAAATATTATCTTAATTAATTAGAATTTAAACGAAGGATTTGTGTGCGTCAAGTTTGAAAAAGCTGAGTGTAATAAAGTAATTTCAAGAGGTAAGACCTCTCTTTCCGTTTCCGACGCGGAGTGCACTCCATGTCTGACGCGCACCCTGTTTTGACTCGAATATCACGTTATCTCAAATCTGGACCGTCCATTCCCAGTGCTGAATCTCAAACACCTTTCCAAGTCATCTCGTCAACGACCCACGTGTAGGGCAGTGGTCACCATCCTCACAACTTAAAATCAAACTGAATACCAATTAAATCAACTCCATTGGGACCCACATCTGACGTAAAGGAAGATAAACGACCCTCATCTTCCAAATCCAACGGACAGCCCACGCCACCTATAAATCAGGAATTATCTCTGCCGTTTGCCAACGAGGCCTTGCCTAAAAAAAGATATTCAAAAAAATTTAAAAAGCATCTAAACACGTACTAGCGGTGGGCCCCATACCTTTCGCAGATGTCGGTGTGCGTGGTCCGGAAAGTGACGTGTCCCACGTAGAAGAAATCAGATAGACGAGGGCCCCACGGGAGACAGAGGTTGCGTAGCCAGCTCACTAATCACGTCCCCTAGACTTTCTAGAGATACTAAAAG